AAAAAAAAAAAAAAAAGAATGTATGTGACATAGGAAGAGTACTGGCCAAAAATACAAGTGTTGTTATGAATGTTTATAAAAGAACAATTCATACTAGAAATGAACTATGAAAATGACCCTGTGAAAACACTTTGTACTTTTTGCTAGAAATCCTTATTGATTTTGGTGAATTGTGTTTGAGAGAGACGTTTTTTTCCTTGTACAGGCTACATTTCAATAAAAATTAAGGTTTTAAGTTTTTGGAGGGTGTTTTTTGTTGGAAGGGAGAATGGGGAAAAGAAAGTAGAAATCCATGTTGGGAAAAGAAATTGACTTGGAGGATTACAGTATCTTCAGTAACTTTATTGTTGTTATCTTACTGATGGCAACATTTAGAACTTCAAACGTCTAAGCAACACTTCATTAGAGCTTTTCAGTATTATTTTTGGCTGTAAGATTTTTGCCAAGGCAGGAAGAAAATATAAATTCATCAGGCAAGAGCTGTAAATTTCTGTCTTCAAGTTTCAATATAGTGTATATAGCAAGTTAATGCAGTTTCCCCCTCATAAGTGGCACTCTACCTTTTGTGAATTATTGTCAAGGAACCTAGGACTCAAAACTCTGAAAACAGGCACATGGTTTGTGACTGGGCAGAAGTGAACTGACGGAGGCAGTGTATCATTATGTCACATTCCTTCTATAACTTCTATGGCTCTTGTCCAAAGGAGATGAATGAATTGTGGCATTGCTACTGGTAATAGATAAAACATTATATTTATCTTGAGAGGTTGAGAAAAGTATCTGTATAATACATTCAAGCCTTCCAAAACTTAAGCAATATTGAGGAGATCTGCTTTTCAGCTTTCCACCCAGTTCTGTGCCTCAACTCCTGCCAAGTACTGATACTGGCAGTGACGCACTGGGGTCACAACACAAAGGTTTGAATGCTCCATGACTTACTCTTCGAAATATGTGCATAGGAATTAATTTGATAATAACTCCAGGAGTGATTGGGTAAGGAAGCAACGTGTAGCTTTCCTTAATGTGTAAATGTAACCCCACGGAAGCTTCCACTGTTTTAACTGTGGTAATTCAACATCCCAATCTATTAAATTCATCTCCATCTATAGGACTAAAAAATACACACTTTTTCATTATGTGGCTCTTTTATAATGGTAAAAATGTGTGGGATCTGTGATTATTGTGAAATGAGGACAATCAGGAGGGTTTATAACATTAAATAGTATGTTGTATTTATATTTGCCTTCAAGTTTAATAGATTAAATTAAATATTAATCTCTGGTGCAATTTAGGATGGGAGAAAGCATGAAAACTAGGTTCTTTGGAGGCTTCATTAAATATATTTATAATCAGTCAATAGAATGCAATCAGTTAGTATAAAAGGCTTTTAATCCATAATTCATTTTCCTTTTTGATATTGATATTTAGTTACTTTAAAACAGGCTCAATTATGTTCAAATTGGAACTAGAGAAGGCTGTGGGTCTCAGACTTTAGTGTGCTTGAGTCCCCTGGGAAGCACGGTGCCAGATCTGGTGAATGGGGTGGCTGAGGACACACCATAATGTTTTTATTTGACAGAAATTGCTGTACCAGAAGCGATGTGTGACATGAACTCTTCCCATTGTGATCACAAAATACAGTGAATGCTGCTGCCACGTGCCATCCAGCAGAAAAGCAGGGATCTTCAATATGGGAAGTGGCACGTCAAACCTTAGTAATAATGTGTGACAAGTTTCAACTTGTTTGTTGTAGTCAGTTGGGTGTGAGCTGCGGTGTTTTAAAGTGTGCCGTAAATCATCCTCCATCATGACAACGCTCCATGTCACACGCCGCTTTTGGTATATGGCGATTTCTGTTAAATATTACAGTGTGTCCTCATCCGCTTTATTCACCGGATCTGGCACCATGTGACTTGTGACTCTTCCCCAAAGTCAAAATGATTCAGGACATCGAGGCAGCTACAACAGCGCAACTAAGAACACTCACAAAAGAAGACTTCCAGAACTGCTTCAGAAAGTGGCAAGAGTGATGGGATAAGTGTGTTCAAAGCGAGGGGGAGTATTTTGAGGGGGATTAATGGCAATGTATCTTTTACTCTAACAAATTTTTTTATTTACACATTCACTGTATTTTTTTATCACACCCCACATGTACTTGCCACGAGTTTTATTTTTCTCTCCTCTTTGCTCTGGACTTCCCTTGCCCCTCTGCAAGTAGCTCCTAATACATTGCTAAGTAGATAATAGGCTTTAGATCGGTATTTTAAAGTGCATGTGTTGAATTTAATTGACAGTACTTTAAAAAGAAGATTGTGTTCTTCACCAGCACTAGGCTCTTGCCAAATTGAAATATTTGGTGTTCTCCACATCTGTCTAGGGCGTTTCTCTCTCTCCTCTTTTGCTCATGCTGTACTCTGTCTGAGATGCTCTTCCTTCCTCCTCTGCATGTGAAAATCATGCCTGGAAGCCTCCCTGCCCCACTTCCGCTCCAGCCTGACCTGGCTGTAAGTAACAGCTCCTCCTCGTCGGTTGACAGAGTAGCTCTCCACTGCTTTCTATACCGTTCACATTTTCATTGGATATTACAGACTTGCTTGTTTTTCTTCTTCACTGAGGTAAATGCTCCTTGATGGCAGCAATTTTGTATCCCCAGAAGAACCTAGCGTTGTACCTTGTTGAAAGTAGGTGTTTAACAAGAACTTGATGAAGGAGTGGCAAGTTTGTAAGGAAAGTTTTGTTAATGGCTCCTTTCAATGAAAATGATGCTGGCATAATCAAGAGTGTTTTAGCTATAGTTGAAATGAACATAGTAAGGCACTATATCCAGAGCTTCCATTTCTAGGAGAGTTCCCTGAGTTAAATATCGAGGTTCCAAAACCTGCTGGTACCCTTTGAGGTGACAACTATGTTTTCTTTGAAAATAAGATTTGGGAGGGCTTGCTTTTGTACTCTGTGATACCTCAATCCATGTTTTAGGTACTTGCTGCTGTTTTTATGATGTGGTGCAGAAGTGAACTAAATTATACGTCTGAGCTTTTCATTGGTGCTTCACAGGACTTATTAAGCATTGGTGGTCGTTGGGTCAAAAAGCACCACTGTTCACCTGAACTTACTGTCTGTGATTCGTACTTTCTGTTCTGAGAAGCATGTGTGACACTGTTAGGAAATATTATTACATTGGGCTGATTATTCTTCAATAGTCTCAACAAGGGGCATCTTATTCTTTAGCTTCTATCTCTGAACGGTTGAGTGGTAAGAAGAAAAAAATCCAAGTTTTTTTCTTTATTTCAGAATTTCCAAGTCTGCTTGGAATTCTTTGGCTTTGGAAATAGATTTGCATGTACACTACGGGTCACAGTTCAGAGGATTTAAGGAACCACCATAAAATAGATGCTAGTGTAAGTGTGTCATCATCTGAATTTACTGTCAGTTACGTTTAGTAATAAAATGCTCTTCTGAGCTGTGTTCCAGGAAGAGCAATGGTCTGAATTTGAAAATCAGGAGCCAATTTTGGCTGTGTCTCTGTCTGCAGTTTTGATGTTAACGAGGCCACTTGAGGGGCTCATTTATTTCTCAGATGAAATAATAGCTCTTTGTAGTTATATAAGGAGCTTCAAACAGCTCAAAAGCTTTGGATTTTTGCAACAATCTCATTAATATCCATATCATCCTCTGGTTGCTTGGTGTCTACAGAAAATTAACCACTTGTGTAATTAATTGCCTGAGGTTAGATCCATAGCAGAACCAAGCTCTGGGCTGATGTTCTAGACACCAGAGCGTACCATTTCTGTTACCCTGAGCCGGGAAGAGTAAAACAATCCTATTTGGAGTTGGAATGTGAGGTTTAATTACTTGGCGCTTTTGGAGACTTGGGGACTTGCATGGTCAGTCTCAGCTGACATGGAGGCATTTGCTGCAACTGCCTAGGGAACTTTTTAGCCTGGTTTTACAAGGCTGAGCTCCTCACCCTCCCACCTTGTCTCGTTTCCCGTGACTCAGTCCTCCCCGCCACGCATCTCTCTTACCCACCTGTCCCGCCTTTCATGTCCCTTTCACTGCTGCATGCCTGCGCATGTGCCGCTTGCTCCGCCACAATGCCTTTTATCTCTGTACCAGCACGCTGAGTTTTCACTCGTTCTTTACAGTGTAGCGTTCTCCTCTTCAACCTATACCAAGAACATATATATTTCCTCCACCCCTATTTGTGTTTCTGCCACCATGCTTTCTTGGTACTATGTGCATACCTTCTGTTAGCACAGGGCCCTCTTGAGTTATCCTTATTTATTTGTATATGACTCTCCACGACTACTTTGAGAGGTCCTGGTGGATATAGACCATGTAGCAGTTTTTCTTCATTTTCACAGTTGGTATAGATCCCTACTATATGTTTATTGAATGAATGAAATTCATATACATTAAGCTTTCATATTAACTGTAAGACTGACTTTGATGAATGCCTTGCAAAGTCTATCTTAATTCATAGTCATTCTGCGTCCAACTGAAAGTGGAGGCTTTTTTTAAATGAAGTTGTCCTGACTAAGATAGGACGGTTTAAGAGTTGGTATATGACATTTGAATACCTGTGTACATTTCAGTGCTTATGTAGATATTCCATGTGGCCTTTATTCACTCAGCTCCCAGATGTTGACGACACTCTGAGACATCTTTCTCTTAGACAATATGAGGTGTCTGAATATATCTGTTTACTCATTTTCATCTTAGCTATGGAAGAACAATGCAAGGAGTTTTGATTCAACGGGAGGGAAAGGAATCTATGAGACTGAAGTTTCTTCATTTGGAGTAGCATTGTTACTCTAATATGTTATTAATGGGAAACAAGCAAATTTAAACATTCTTGGCTAAATTAATCATTTCTAGATTGAATGGTATTTATAAATTATTTTTAAGAATGATTTGAGCTAAATGTTACTATTGACATAAAAGCTGTAAAATACTTATAGAAAGTCATAATGTCCACTATTGAGAACTTATTTCATGCCATATAAACTACTAGATGATTGATCTTACTTTATATAAATCTGTATCTATCTGTTTGTTAATCTGTCAATGAATAATTGAGCACCTCACCTATACCAGATACTGTACTAGGCACTACATTATTTTTTAAATTCTTTTAATAATGCTTGAGTTAGAGATTATTATTCCCGTTTTATACATGGGGAAGATAAGACACAAAGTATTTAATTTGCCAAAATGCACTCAACTAGTAAGTGGTTTAGTTGGGGATTAAACTGAGGTCTTCTGGGTTCCATAAATTATGTATTAATAATTTCTGCTAATCTGGCTGCTTTGCATTATTTACATTTTTTTTAATTTAGTGTTTTAGTGCTAGACCTTTCTTGAGTATTGTTTGTCACATAAAATTTGATGGAAATGCTTTGATAGTTGGCAAAGCTGTTTTCCCAATATTGAACTTTGATACATATGGTTATAATATCTTGATTATGACGTTTTACTTAGTTTTATGTCACAGTATCTTTTAGTGAGAATTCAATCTTAAATTTTATAGTTTTGAAAACCAAGGTAAAAGTGATGCATAAGGTTTAAAGATTATGTGCCTTTATTTATTTATTTATTTAATTTTTTCAGCTTTATTGAGAATTATATGCTTTTAAAGTTTAAAATAATTCACACTTTTTGTCTATAAGTCATTTATAATTATTTTGCATCTTTCAAACAGGTACCAAGTACTTGCTTTTGCAACCGACGCAGATAAAAGACAGGAGACTGAACAGCAAAAACTTGGTTCTGGAAAAAGACTAGTTGTAAGACCTTTTCTTTAATATATACAATTTTCAGTAATGTTATCTTTAATCACAGAGGTTTGTTCCAAATAAGAATTCCTGGGAAAAAATTAAAAAAAAAATTTCAGTCATTTCTCTTTCTATGTTATGATTAAGTAAATGATTAAAGAGTTTCGTTGGCTGTTCTTCAGCAACAGAGACACCTTGTTGATCATGGTCATAATATACCAGATTCTAGGGGTGCTCCACTAGAATTATAGGGGTCCAGGTGGGGGTCACTTTTCACTGAAGTGACTATGAACTAACCAAACAGAAAGAAAAATTCAAAAAACCCCTTTAGTAGGCAAAATAAGTTGATACTAGTAGGCATGGGACCAAATATATAAGTAAAATATAAAAATTCACAGCCCACAAAGATAAAATTAGTTCAAAGGTGGAAGTTTGATAACTTGAAAAATAGTTTGAAGAAAAATAGTACAGGATAAATTTTCAGTTTAATGGAAATGAGGGAATAGAGGATGATTGTGAGCTCTTCCTTATCCTGAGACCCTTCATAGACAGGAAGGGAAAAAAATAGAAAGAACTGAAAATTAGGATGGAAACAGTCAAGTGAACCTGAGGAGGACACATGCAGTATGCATGAAGAAATAATGTGGAATTTAGAATACTGAGGAAATAAGACGATCAGAGAAGACTAATTCTCTGTATTGGGACACAGAAGTTAAGAGAGATGATAGAAAGAAGGCTGACTTGGAGAGAGTCAAGAATGAGATGAAAACATTGTCTCTGTGGTAGTTAATGGCAGTAAATGAGAGAGCACAACAAATACAAATATGACATACCTTTGCACAGAATTTGGAGGCATCGTATTAATACTAGTTAAAGTATAGACTTTGTGTCAAATCTCGAAAGCTGTACTTCTTATTTTGAGCAAGTTTGTTGCCTTGCTCAGTCTCAGTTGTAAAATGGTGATAATGCCTATTTTACAATGTGGCCATTAGAAATATATGTAAAGCACTTAGCAAAATGTCTGGATGGGGATGACGACAATGATAATATGATCAGATTGCCCTTGACTTCCTCCTCAATAGCAGTCTTCCTCCATTATCCCTCATGTTCTGCACTCCAGCCGCTCGGGGCTTCTTACTGTTCCAAATATTCCATAGCTCTTCTTTTTCCATTGGCAGCTCACTGCCGCTCAGCTTAAGGTGCCGTGTTCAATTAGTTGTGGGTGGGCGTAGCCACCATTTCATGCGGGAGTCGAACTGGCAGCCTTGTTGTTAAGAGCACGTGCTCTCACCAGCTGAGCCATCCTGCCGCCTGTTGGCAGCTCAGTGGCAGCTCACCTCGGGCGCAGCGTCACTGGCCCATGTGGGAATCGAGCCAGTGGCCCTGTTGCTCAGAGCTTGTGCTCTTAAACAAGCTCTTAACCAACTGAGCCACTCGGCCGGCCCTCCATGGCTCTTCTTGATTCTAGGTTTCTGCATTTTTTTTTCCAGTCTGGAATATCCTTCACTCATTTATTCACAGATATTTATTAATACTACACTGTTACTTACTCTGAGGATATATTCTGAAGGCAATTATAGTTGAGTGATTTTTCTATTCTCAGTTAATGAATAGAGTTAAGAAATAGTTGTAAACCTTCCTTTCATTACACCACAGTCACTTGGCAGGACTGTGATGCCATGGGACATTATTAAATCTATTGCAGAGGGACAGAATGTATCCAGTGGAATGCTTTTAATAAGGTATTTGTGGGAAGGCAGTTAATATGGATAGATTTAAGTCTGTCATCTGGTCATTTTGGATTTCGATTTGTCCCACCTGTTCTTTGTGTTCTCTGTTTTTCTGCTTTCTTTTGGAGTTATTCAATATTTTTTTATGATTTCATTTTATCTTTGTTGGCTTATTAGCCATAACTCTGTTTTATTATTTTAGTGGTTGCTTCAGAGTTTATAATATATGAGGTGTGATAAAAAAATATGGTGAATGTTTAAATAAAAAAAATATTACGGTAAAAGACACATTGTCATTAAACCCCTCAAAATACTCCCCCTCGCTGTGAACAAACTTTCCCCATCATTCTTGCCACTTTTTGAAGCAGTCTGGAAGTCCTCTTTCATGTCTTTAGTTGCGCTGTCGCGGCTGCCTCATATCCTGAATTAATTTTGACTTTAGGGAAGAGGTCACGTGGTGCCAGATCTGGTAAATAAGATGGATGAAGACACACTGTAATGTTTTTTTTTTGTTTGTTCCTTTGTTTGTGTTTTTATTTTGCTGAGCCATCCTGCCACCTGTTGGCAGCTCAGCGGCAGCTCAGCTTGGGCCGGGAATCAAACCGGCAACCCTGTTGCTCAGAGCTCGCACTCTTGAGCAAGTTCTTAACCAACTGAGCCACTTGGCCAGCCCACCATAATGTTTTTATTTGACAGAAATTGCCGTATACCAGAAGTGACGTGTAATATGGAGCCTTTCTGTTGTGATCACAAAATATGGTGAATGCTGCTGCTGAGTGCCATCCAACGGAAAGGCAGGGATCTTCAATACAGGAAATGGCACGTCAAACCTTAGTAACAGTGTGTGACAAGTTTCATCTTGTTCAGTGAAGTCAGTCAGGTATGAGCTATGGTTGAGAGAAAGTGTGTTTTAAAGTGTGCCATAAACCATCCTCCATCATGACAATGCTCTGTGTCACACATTGCTTCTGGTATATGGCAATTCCTGTCAAATAAAAAACATTGTGGTGTGTCCTCATCCACCTTATTCACCGGATCTGGCACCATGAGACTTCTGGCTCTTCTCCAAAGTCAAAATGATTCAGGACATCGAGGCAGCTATGACAGTGCAACTAAAGCAGCGGTTCTCAACCTTCCTAATGCCGCGACCCGTTAATACAGTTCCTCATGTTGTGGTGACCCCCAACCATAAAATTATTTTCATTGCTACTCTATAACTGTAATTTTGCTACTGTTATGAATCGTAATGTAAATATGTTTTTGTTTTCTGATGGTCTTAGGCGACCCCTGTGAAAGGGTCGTTCGACCCCCAAAGGGATTGCGACCCACAGGTTGAGAACCGCTGAACTAAAGACACTCACGAAAGAGGACTTTCAGAACTGCTTCAGAAAGTGGCAAGAACGGTGGGATAAGTGTTTTCAAAGTGAGGGGGAGTATTTTGAGGGAGATTAATGGCAATGTGTCTTTTACTGTAATACATTTTGATTTTTTTTGAAAAAGAGACATTTTTATTTTAAAATGTGAACTTCTTCCACAGTCACTAATTTACAGTTACAAATAAAGAAATATAACATTCCATTTGTATATCATTTAATCACATATAAAGAATGTAATACATTTTTAAAAAATTTAAATTCACTATTGTTTGATCGTGCCTCATATATCTTTTACTTACAAGTCTACTTTCAGGTGATATTATACTACTTCTCATATAGTATAAGATCCATACTTCTGTTTCTCACCTTCTAGCCTTTGTGCTATTGTCATATTTTAATTTTACATACACTGTAAACTCCATATTATATTATTGTTTTTGTTTAAATAGTCAATATCTTTTAATAAGATTTAAATAAGAAAATTACCATATATTTACCCATGTAGTTACACCATTTCTGGTGCTCTTCATTAATTTATGTAGCTCCATACCCTGCTTTCCCCAAAATAAGACCTAGCTGGAAAATAAGCCCTCGCATGATTTTAAGTGCCAAAATATGGCACCTCGGCATACTGAATATTTTAAGCTGAAGGAGTTTGTGGAAAAGGCACCCTTCTCCCTGAAATAGGTCATAAAACTCTCATGTCAGGGGTGCGTGCCCTCCATATCCTGGAGGAACCATGCTGGGGCTTCTTCTCTGGCGAGGTCTTATTTTTGGGGAAACATGGTATTTCCACCTGATGTCATTTTCCTTCCTTTTGAAGGACATCATTCACGTTTCTTTCAGTGTGAGTCCATTGGTGATGAATTCTTTCAGTTTTTGTATGTCAAAAAAAGTATTTTTGCCTTGTGTTTGAAAATATATTCTTTGGATATGAAATTTTAGTTTGATAGATTTTTTTTTTCACGCCAGTATTTTAAGAGGTTGCTCCACTGTCTTCTTACTTGCATTGTTCCCCATGATAAATCTGCTGTCTTCTTATCTTTGTTCTTTTGTACATAATATCCTTTTTCTCTGGCTATTTTTTTTTTTTTTTTTTTTTTAGCTGAGCCATCCCGCTGAGCTCTTCCTTATCCTGAGACCCTTCATAGAC